TTAATGAGAATTTGACGAGAAATGAGAGACTGGAGATTACAAAACTTTCAACTTCATCCCAGTGAAATGTAGAGGAGCAATGATTGAGACGTATAAAAATATCTTATTTGCAGTTTTTTTGTTTTAGTTTGTTATAATGAAGAGTGATTGCTCATTTCTCAGTTTTGTCTCCAAATCTTTCCCAGATGTTTCTCTAGGAGAACAAAATGGTACTTTGTAGCCAAATGCAACTTTCTTTGATGAAGAGTTTGAGAAATATCGAAGCGCATGTTGTTATCTTTGGCAATTCATGCTTCTTTGGCAAATCTGAGCATAGTTTGAGATTAGTTTTGTCATGAGAAATAACAAAGTAACTGAAGACTGGAAGACTTGCTACTTTATCTCAGTGAATTGTAGAAGAGCAATGATTGAGACATTGCAAGAGATCTTATTTGGAGTTTATTTTCTTCGTTATAATGAAATATATTAGTTCATATTGATATGTTTGAAGCATCTTGGCACATCTGAGCACAGTTTGAGAATTTTTTTGCCATGAGAAATATTCGAGAAATTTGAGACTTAAGCAAAAGTTTCTGTTTTATCTCAGTAAGTGTAAAGAGATCTTATTTGTGGTTTTGTTTTCAGTGTGTTTATAATAAACATTGCTCATTTCTTTGTCTTGTCTCAGCATCTTCTCAGATGTTTCTGCTAAAATGTTTTCTCCTAAAAGAAGCTAGAGACTGCTAAACTCTCTAGTTTGTTTCAGTGAAATGTCGAGGAGCAATGATTGAGACATATAAAAAATATCTTACTTTGAGATTCTTTTTTCAGTGTGTTATAATAAAAATTTGACTGCTTATTTCTCAGTTGTGACTCCAAATCCTCTCAATTTTCTCCTAAAACTTCTATGAGATCAAAATGTGGTTAACAGCCAAATTAATTGATCTTTATTGAGAGTTTGATGAGAAATTGAGACTGGAGACCACAAAACTGTTTACTTGATCTCAGTGATATGCAGAGAGCAATGATTGAGACATATTAAACGATCTTATTTTGAGATTCTCTTTTCAGTTTGGTATAATAAATATGTGCCCACTTTTTCTCTGTTATGTCTCCAAATTTTCTCAGATGTTTCTCCCAAAATCTCTAGGAAAACCAAATGTGGCTAGTAGAGCTGTGAACCTACACTAGTCTCACGGTTCGGTTCGGTTACGATTATCATGCCATCGATTCGGTTCAATTCGATTTTTCGGTGCATCACGGTGCATTGAAGGTGCTTTTCATACACAGTTCTATATTTTCTTCACAGCAGCAGTTCTTGTATTGAAATGTATGGATATGTTTATATTTAAATATTATTTGTAATACATATTTGTAATTTAATACAAACAGTCAGATATATAAACTGTAACTTAAAACAAAACGAGCATTTAGCAAATAATATAAACAAATATAAATATCCAGCTCAATTTCTGATCCTTGTCTGGTTCTCTTACACCTCTTTGATTGGTCACACCCTCAACAAAAATGGTTGCGATTGGCTCTTGCGCTGCGCTCTTCACAGATGAGTGACAATGATAAGCGGCAGGCGGCAGTGGCGATCTCACAGCTGATGCATGATAGACACGGTGGAGAAAACTATGCAGACACGCGCTCGTTTCTTTATCCTTAAATAACGCTGTAAAACAGCCGAGAGGAGAAGAAAAGCCACGCCAGCAGGTCAAATGGGCCACTGTGTGTGTGTGTGTGATAGAGAGAAATGGAGTACTTTCATTCTCTCGATCTCAGTGAAATAGGGGTTTTGTTGTATATGTCAGTGAAAGACTGATCCAGCAAACACACACAGTGAAATTGTGCACAGTTCATGAGTTTTAAGTAAGTTAGAGCGTTGTAAATACTCGCGATCGCCTTCCTCGCAACAGAGCGAATATGAGGTAAATGACGTCAGTAATAACCGGTTATGATTATTACTGAACCGATACCGAATTGTCTGCGTCTGCATCGCGGTGCACCGAAGAAACGATTCATTTTGACACCCCTAGTGGCTAGCAGCCAAATTAATTGATCTTTAATGAGAATTTGATGAGAAATGAGAGACTTGAGACTACAAAACTTTCAACTTCATCTCAGTGAAATGTAGAGGAGCAATGATTGAGACATTTAAAAGTATTAACATGGTCTTTTCTCATCAAAGTCTCATCAAATATAGAATGATCCGGCTACCAGCATTTTGTTTTGCCCAGAGTTTTTAGGACAAACCTATGAGACATTTGGAGACATAACTGAGAAGTGAGCCATGACTTTTTCATTACAACAAACCAATAAGAGAAACCCCAAATAATAACTAGTAGCCTAGGCTGCTGTATTAACTATGGTAGATTCTTCATGGCTCATTGCTGTCTCGAGTTCAGGAGTTATTCCGCTGCCTTGTTTTTTCCTGCAGTAAACTCCTGGCGCTCAGGCTGTGATGAAGCATTTCTCGTCTTCACTTTTATCTCTGTCTGCTGAAAAAAAAAGCGTGAGTTTGCTGAATATCTGCTGACCTGTTCACCGGCGGAGCTCGTCTTTCAGAAATGTGAAGCGTCTGTTCGCTGATGCTCCATCAGTCACTCTCTTGCGTTTTTTATTTATTTATTTATTTCTCTCAGACAGATTGCCGTGTCTCCGGAGGATAGTTGTAGTGTATTAAAGCGCTCGACGCTGCTTTACACACCATCTGCTTGAGCGGAAACAAGACGAGAGGAACAACACTCAATCCTTCAATGACGCTGAACTGTTCAGAGACACTCCGTGATGAACGCCGGCTGAAAGTTTTGACCTTTTATTGCGTTTTATTTTTAGCTGATGCATAAGCAGAAATCATCTCATTACTGGGACTGATGGAGACATGACAGAAAGCTTTGTTTGTGTTGCATATAAAGAGGGAAATAAATGAGATTATTGGTTTTTCCGTGTCTTACGCAGGTGCTTTTGACTTGTATGGAAATATCAGGACAAATTAAATTAGTCCTATAGTAGGTATATTAAAGTTGTCCATCACTGACGGCTAGGGTGGTCTTTATGCAGTTTTATAATTGATTATTAGATGGACTTTGGTGTAAATGAGCTGATATGGTTCTCGTGGGACACCTTTTCTTCAGGGGCCGTGCGGTAATGCAGGAGATTATGAGAAAGGGAGAATTCATGGATGGTTATGCAGGTCTTATGCTAGAGCTGTTCATTTTCTGATGGGACATTGTTTGAAGATGTATTCATTTTTATAAGTGTTTAAATATTATTTCCTTATTCTCCGTATAGAGATTTGAATGATTTTAATATATTTAGTATAGGTATTTTTATATAAAAAATACAAATCACATTTATTGTACTTTGTTTGCGTTTTATTTACTTATTTAAACAAGCCAACGCATCTGTTTACACTCTCAGAAAAAAAAAGGTACAAAATTGTACCTTTTAGGGTACAAATGGCCCGTCACTGGGGTGGTACCCTAAAGGGTACAATTTTGTACCTCTGTTTAGAGGTACAAAATTGTACCTTCTACATTTGTACCATTTAAGGGACAATTTTGTACCCCCCAAGGAAGGTACGAAAATGTACCTTCTTATATTATATAGCATTTTCAGGGTACTGACCCAGGCATTTTGATCCTTTGGTGACTGCATGTACAAATAAATAAATAATTTTGGTTCGCAGATGTCCATTTTTATTTAGAAATGTAATAATATTTTATTACAATTCACAACTGAATGTGTCAAGTAATAAAATTACACAGCAAGTATAAACCAGACATGTAAAACAGTAAAAAGATCAATTTAGATAACAAATAAAAATTGTTCACTCACTGTACAGTAAATCATCTACACTTAATACAAAGACCACAAGAATACTGTTTAAGATTTATAAACACATTACACAGGCTACATCAAGTACTGCACTTTATAAAGTCCAAAGTATTTGTCTTTAGTCAGAATACGCAGTCATAAATAATTTGCCATCAACATTTTCTCTGTATTTCAGAATGAAGGCAATGTTTCTTCTATAAATTGCTTCAACAGTGCAGAAAACCAAAAACATTAGTAGCCTCTTCTTCAACATCAGTAGATTCTTCCTCAACTTCCTCAAGAAGAGTTGTAATTTGTTGTAACACAATACGTTTATGCTTTTGATAAACATGACATGTAAGGCACTCATAACTGGAAAATGTTCTTTGATAGTCATTAGGACCACAAGTTATTTAAAAATTTGCTTTATGCATGAATGAGAGCAGTGTGCTAGATTAACTTGATGATTGTGATTATTATCCAAGAGCATTAAGAGAAACAAAAAACAAGGTTGATCACTCTGGTAACTGGAGTGGGTCGAGGCTTGTCATCGTCCACAGTTCATTAAAAACATTCCACTGCAGAAACATCAAGGTGTTCTTCAAATGAGATGGATAAAAATGTATATTCGTCCACACCATTAACCCGGCCAATCACAATGCCATCAACTCTGAAGACTGCCATGACTCGTCTTGTGGTCCAGTCGGTGGCCTCCTCCTGTACTTGAACTGTTGGATGTGGTGAAGATGATTCACTGTAAATAACAAAGCAATTATTTCATTAATATCATTGATGAAGAGAAAGTCAACATGCATAGAATGTGAAATAATTAATATTCACTGATTTTAAAAAAAGTATAACAGATAAAATGATTAATATAAAGTTCATTCACTCATTAATTTTTTGGCTTAGTCCCTTTATTAATCTGGGGTCGCCACAGTGAAATGAACTGCCCACTTATCCAGCATTTTACGCAAAAGATGCCCTTCCAGCCACAACCCAGTAATACAAACATTCATACACACTCATTCACACACACATTTATACACTACAGACAAATTAGCTTACCCAATTCACCTATAGCACATGTCTTTGGTCTTGTGGGGAAACCGGAGCACTTGGAAGGAACCCACACGAACACGGGAAGAACAAGCAAACTCCACACAGAAATGCTAACTGACCCAGCCGAGGCTCAAACCAGCGACCTTTTTGCTGTAAGGTGACTACCCGCTTTGCAATCCTAATATAAAGAATATCAAGAATTATAAAATGCATTTATCACAGCATATACTAAACAGAAAACAACATACGCACCTGAGTACAGCAAAATGTTGAAGTTTCTCGCTGAACAAGGCTGGCAACATGATAAGTGCTGCTGTAAAATCAATTCCTGGAACATAATATGTGGCATACAAACAAATATGAAGGAATCCATACAAAGCTAGAATTTAATAATATTAATCAAGTAGAGAAAATTTAGAAAGAGTACCTTAGAGTCAGGTCCATAGCATTCTTCAGTTGATCTCTCATCTTTCGATGAATACCTAGAAAATAATTTGAAACGTATATGTGTACATTTATTGTTGTTTGTAAGTAAAAACCTACAAATTTAAAATAGTATGTAAGCCATTAAAACCATGGTATACAGATAATGAGAAATACTTGCATCTTGTACTGAGCCATGCTTTCATATGAAATGCCTTCACTGGTCTGATGCTGTCAGGCTGCATTCTGTTGTTCCAACTGTCCTGAAGGTCAAATGGAAACTTTAAAAACTTCTGGAAAGCAATAAGAGAAAATAATAACTATTTGTTTATTTTTAGATATTTATAAAATAGTTAAAATACTGTAACGTATTACATTAAATATTACATTAAAGAACGAAGCATTACTTAAAATGCGATTCATACAACGTGGTACGTTAATAATTATACATTAACATAAGCATAAACAAGAGTGAAGCACCAACAATTCTGGACATGAGAGTTTGTGGACACTCCTCAACGTTAATGTAGACACTAAAATGAAGATGTGTACAGGAATACACACACCACGTTTGTAATTAGCCACGGTTACATAATCGCTCGCTTTGCTCACGGGCCGATTCCGGCTCGGATGCAGCAGCCTCGGCTCACTTACTGCTGCCCGATTGAAGCAGTCCGAATAGAGCAGTGAGTCCATAGGCATCCTGTCCGAGTACAGCAAATGGAGCCGGGCCGAGAGGTAAGTCTCCGGCAGGCGAGAAACTAGCCGGAACTGGCCCGAGTGTTTTGCTATCTGGGTTGCGATTATATTCCGCAGTGGCAACACTTATTAATAAAGCAGTAACGTAAGATATGAGGCGCGAATACGTAGGCGATAAAGTGTGTTTTTACACCGAGAAAACTTATAGCATATAGTTAACTTACTCACCTTCTATAACGTTATGTCCCGCGGTGACTTCAATATCATATTGTATTAACTTCTTTAATAAGCTGCAGACCTCTTAGCCAACTCCATCCTGCAGGCAAACGTACACCAAGCAGTCCGGAGAATTTTTTCGCGGTCTTTAAGCGGGGAAAAGCCGAGGCACGAGAGTCAGACAAAAGCAGTAGAACATGGCGTCACATGTAAAAATGAAACTGAAAATATGTCATAAATACACATTTACCTGAAAAGTGTAGACTCCAAAATAGACTTTTCTTTGAAAATCGTGCGAAGTTCTGTGTAAACAGCCAGCATGAGCAAACTCGACCGCCTCAGTAACAAACACTGCCAACAAGCCGAGTTCTTAAAGAGACAGCAACATCTCCACCTGAATGAAGATACTGTCACTCTGCATAATCCTTATTCTAAATCCCATTTAGGGTCTTAAACAGTAAGTAAAGATCAGTATTTACTTTTTAATTATTAAAATTACATTCAATTCTACATTAAATTGTAAATATTTTTTGAGAAAAAATAACATTTGAATAAATTAAAAAAAATAATTATTAAAGTATTTTATTCAATCAATTTATTAATTTTATATTTTTAAATTATGTATTTTAGTATTAATGTTTAGTATTAATTAATTAAAAATTAGTGTTATATGGTGTCTTGATCTTATAAGCTGAGGGTACAATTTTGTTCCTATAGGGAAACAAAATATGTAATTGTACCTTTAAAGGTGCCAAAATGGTCCTTTACAGTACAATTATGTATCCAAATGTGCTATAAAAGGTACAAAAGTGTACCTTTCAAACCTAAATCTGGACGTTTGTACCTTTTTGGCCCATTTGAGTACAAAATTGTGCCCTAAGGACCAATTTGGGACCTTTAAAGGTACAATTATATATTTTGTTCCCTCTAGGAGCAAAATTGTACCCTCATTGTACCTTTTTTTCTGAGAGTGTAAGTGTGGAATTTCTGGGATTATTTATTTATTAATAATTATTAAATAAATGCACAAATTATTAAGTACAAAATAAATAATAATTACAGTTTTAACCTGGTTTGTTTGTTTGTTTGTTTATAACTACATTTATATAAATTAAATACAAAATAATTACAATTTTAACCTGTTTGTTGATTTATTTATTTATAATTACATTATGTAAATTAATTACAAAATAATTAAAATTTTAACCTGTTTGTTTGTTTATTTTTGATTATTAGATAAATTAAATGCATAATTAATTTTACCTGTTTATTTGTTTATATTATAATTTATGTGTTTACATGTTTGTTTGTTTGCTTGCTCATTTATTCATTTATTTACTTATAATTAATAATTAAAATTTGATGCACAAAATATTATAAATTAAATACAAAATAATTATTTTTAACCTGTTATTTTAACCTGTTTATTTATTTATAATTGAATAATACAATTAAATATAAAATGTATTTTTATAATAATTATTTTATATATATGAATAATATTTTTTTTTATTTTATTCAGAAATAAATAACTGTTTTGTATTTTGCTTCATTCATATATTATAACTTTATATAATTAATTGTGTTATTTGGGGAAAAAAAGCCAATACATTCTAATTCAATTTATTATTGAATAATTTAATTTAACTATTTCCTTCAGCTCAGTACAAAAAGCATTGTCTTGGCAGGTGTTTTCTTTTCTTTCTTTCTTTCTTTCTTTCTTTCTTTCTTTCTTTCTTTCTTTCTTTCTTTCTTTCTTTCTTTCTAACTTTCTTTCTTTCTTTCTTTCTTTCTTTCATTTCATCTTTATTATTCAATTGCAAATCTAATATCAATGAAATCAATCAATTAACTTTGTTTATATATTAATTGAGTTCAGTTAATAAAGCAGCAGTGTTGATTTTAATTTATAATTTGTTTATAATGTATTCATTATATATTTATGTCTTGTATTTATTAGGTGTTAAATCAAATATTTATTTTTGAATTGCTGCATTTTCTAATTCATAGAAGGATGAGGGTGGACTTGATTTCATTTGTCAGAAATAAAATGAATCATAAATAAAATTATCTACAATTCTATTGGAATACAGTATAGCCCCACCTACCGTATGCATAACTGATGGCATTATTTTGGTGAACTCCTATTTTGACATTTTGATTATGATAAACATGTGTAAAATGCAAATTTGATGTTGTTAGTAATTTTCAAAAGATTGATCGTTTCACTGAATCTTTAAACTCTGATTGGTCCATCTCTCCTAGTCTTATTTATGCATTGCCAAGTTAAACAACATGTCTGTTAGCTTGACTCTGCGCTCGCCGGTCTCTGGCATGCTAATAACACACCACGTCTGTCAATTCCCATTCGATGCGGAATAATTGTGGAGTTATTAAATTCATAAGTGTCTATATATGAATCCAGGGGGCTTCTCTGGAGATGAAAGCAGCGCAGAGAGTGAGTTTTTAATGCGTCTCACCTGTCAGCGCAGGAAATGAGATCAGCGGCACCTTCTGACAGCAGCGATTTAAAAACACAGACACGCCATCATTACAGTCCCTCTGTATTATTACTGACTGGAGAAACACACTGAGCTTCAGCCGTCATGACCGCAGAGCCCGCCACACCAAGAACGATCACTGTAAATATAAACATAATAAAATTTGGAAAATCGTTCTGTGTTTAAAGGAAAGTTCAGACCACAGGTATAACGATGAGGATATTGAAACCATATCGTTGGGTTCACTTTAGGAAAGATTTTTTTATTGCTAATAAATAAAACACTAACAGCCAGTCCAGCCTGATCACATGAGGACACATAACTGTTTTACGTTATGTCAGTTTATGTAATGTAATGTAATGTGTATTTATACAGCGCATTTATTGTGTATGGCCATACACCCAAAGCGCTTCACAATCTTGAGGAGGGGGGGGGGGTCTCTTCACACCACCACCAGTGTGCAGCATCCACTTGGATGATGCGACGGCAGCCACAGGACAACAGCGCCAGTGCGCTCATCACACACCAGCTATTGGTTGAGAGGAGAGACAGTGATACAGTCAATTCGGTGGAAGGGGATGATTGGGAGGCCATGATCGCAAGGGCCGATAGAGGGACTTTGGCCAGGACACCGGGGTTACACCCCTGCTCTTTCACGAGAAGTGCCATGGGATTTTTAATGACCACAGAGAGTCAGGACCTCGGTTTAACGTCTCATCCGAAAGACGGCGCCCACTGACAGTGTAGTGTCCCCTTTACTTTTACTGGGGCATTATAGGACTCACGCAGACCACAGGTTGAGCACCCCCTGCTGGCCTCACTAACACCACTTCCAACAGCAAGCTAGTGTTCCCTAGTGGTCTCCCATCCAGGTACTGACCAGGCTCAGCCCTGCTTAGCTTCAGTGAGTAACCGGTCTTGGGCTGCAGGGTGACATGGCTGTGGCTGTGGCTAGTTTAGAGTCTAATTCGTACATATTACAAGTTCAGTCATATAAAAAAGTAGGATTTTAAAAGCAAACTTGGCACCGAACTTCACCACTAAGCAAAACCAAAGAGCTTAGAATGACCAATAGAACGTTCCATTGCAACAGCAGCACCCAACAACAGCTCCGGATTCCGCCATTTTAGAGTGAAAGCGGTCTGCCGTCCATTGGATCTTATTGCTGTCGCAATGGCATAGGCGAGGCAGTGGTGCAGTAGGTAGTGCTGTCGCCTCACAGCAAGAAGGTCGCTGGGTCGCTGGTTCGAGCCTCGGCTCAGTTGGCGTTTCTATGTGGAGTTTGCATGTTCTCCCTGCCTTCGCGTGGGTTTCCTCCGGGTGCTCCGGTTTCCCCCACAGTCCAAAGACATGTGGTACAGGTAAATAGGGTAGGCTAAATTGTCTGTAGTGTATATGTGTGTGTGAATGTGTGTGTGTGTGGATGTTGGGGATGTTTATCTATTTTCATTGATTTGAAGTAACCAAAATATTTCGGGAGCCGTGACGTCTGTAGCTCCCTGGTTCAATAAAGGATTGACTCTTTCACTGGTGTTTTCCCATGATTTATTTTCAGTGCAGCATTCACTTCACTGACGTCTTCAACTACATCAAACACGTTACACCGTAGGCCAAACACCTTGCACCAT